CGTTTGTGGCGGACGGCAAAACCGACAAACGAGAGGCGACCTTCACTATCACTGCCTGAAACAGAAGATCGCATCGAGATCTCGAGTCGACCAGGAAGTGCGAAGCGAAGGTGCGGGTACACCATCCTGGTGCCCGCCTAATGCAGAGGCCACACGGCTCCGCGGAGCCTCTATTTAAGTATCCAAAGCGCTTCTGGACTGTCTTGGATTCCAAATCGTGCAGGTCACACAGCGTATCGGAACTGTCCGTCGAGCCTCAGAGTAATTGAAAGTTGAGTTGCAAAGAATAGTTCGGCCAGGGTTACGTTAGGACTGTACTGCAGATCAATGCAGCCAGTAGTGGAGCACCGTCGGCAGAACTTACCGAGCCTTGAAGTGACAGATTTCCAGATCGCGATGCGACAGAGTCTTGGAAGTAATCATCATGGTCGCTCTTGCATCACATCTGCGTTGGGGCTTCCCATTTGAAGACTTCCTATCCACGTGCTCGTGCGAAGTCCAGACAGCTGAGACATCGTGTCTAAGCAGTAATGCTATCTAACTGCATTCCCGTGATTTAGGATTCGCTTCAAACTTACATAGTCGCGTCCATCTTCGCGCTGCTTCCGAAAGTGGAAGCTTCGATGCGTCGTGTTGGAGGCAGGTGGCGCAGACGGCGAAAGGGGGCGAAGTAGTGGCTGCTAGTGCTGCGCAACTCCGTTTCCTTGTAAGCAAGTGGTAATGCGCAATCCTCGGGTGCGTGCACAGTACAGTATCTGTCTTAAAGATAGACAACAGGGAGGCGGTGGAGGAGGTTACCACCGAGCTAATCAGAACGTATGAAGAGAAGTGGATCAATGTAAACCAATGTCCAAGGTGTGACTAGCTCGATGTCTTCGGTCTTAGTAACAGCAACCACAGTATTATCTAAACTACAAGTTTAATGTTATGTGCTCTAGGCGGAGATGCTGCTGCCTTAGGGATAGTTGAGTATAAAATTTCGCCTTTTTAGCGATACTTCCTTATCTATCTACCCTAAGCCACATACATCAAGCCACGGGTCAATGTAAGTCTGACATAAGCATTTGCAGCTCTTGCATGTTTCTGGTAATTTGCATGCATGGGTTCGTTAACGGAAATAGTCTGCGCGGGTCTTGTGTATGTATGCATATGGCAACCGCGGAACAACAAGACCGTCATGGCCGACCTGTCGTTCGATTCTCGTATGATCTATCACAGCTCACAGGGATTAGCGCTCATCGTGGTCCCGTTGCTGCAATATGAAGAGGACACTTCGTATATGAATTCATACTTGTATGTTATTACACGCTAGTGGTAAGCTGCGGGAGGGGCCGGACCACATTGAGCCTGGAGCGATGTAAAGGTTGCGTACGTGCTATCCGTGCTATCCACAAAACCTAAAGACGTCTTCGTTACATGCCGCTTCTCCTCACTCCGACTCTTTCAACACACATCTCGTTGTTCAATACCGATAATCATATCCCCCCTCTCGTTCGAGCGTCCCCAAGCCCCTCGGCCCCTCAGCGTTCATGACACTCTCTGGATGGCCCATGATGATAGCTTGTCTAGCCCCAAACGACCCACCATCGTTGTCATCGTCCACTGGCACGGTCATGTCGCCCTCCCTTTCTCCTCCGCCTTCTCCCTCCCACTTCAAGAACTTCTCAAACGCGGCGGTGCCACGTATGCTACCGGTCTTGTCGTATCGCTGAATCATGTTGCGCATGTGGCCTATCTCGCGTGCGCAATCTTTGCAGACCACCATGTCCCTACTAACATGCGTGCGCTTAATAGGGTTTGCACATTTCACAGCTGCGAGCTGATGGTCTGGCAAGGTGCTGTAATCCAGCGCCATGGTATAGTTGTAGGACCCCGAGCTTGAGTCTGAAGTTCGGGGCGTTGTCGTGCCTGACGGGCCCGAAACGGCGCGACGCGAATTCGTCGACGCATTAGTAGAAGACCGCGAAAGCTGTCCGCTCAGCGAAAAGAAGCGTCGCGTGGATGAGCTGCGCTTTGGTGGTGATGCATAGTTTGCTGTGGGCGAGGAGATTGGTGGGGAGTTGGGCCCTCGGAGCGCGTTCAGATTCTGAATCGCCGTGTCGCACAGCGTCCATGGAAGCGTATGCGATTCGCCAATGTGGCCGCAACTACATACAAAGTCGTCAGAGAGGCTACTTTCCAGATTGACTGCTCTCCCACAAAGGTACCGCGAACCACAAGAACTTACCCATTATGCTGGGAATAGTTGTGGTAGCACATGGAAAACTTCGCGATTGCAAAGAGGTATGACGTAGTGACCCAGTTTCGAGCTTAAGTGGTGCCGTGGATTGAGGTATGCAGGGATCCGTAGGGTCGTTCAACAGGACGCAGCCAGACCCTGAGTTATAAACCGCGAAACTTTTTTTTGATGAGTGAATGGACTTGCACATGACAGTCGTATTATGCGTAGATAAATCTCCAACTGTCAGCTATGACTTATCGCATGCTGTCAATCCGCTCTCGTATCCTGCCATGGTGCCTTGTTTACTGAGTGGAGCGGTGAAGTGATTTGCACAAGGGTCAAGTTGGTCACGTGTCGTCGACGTGGCAGTCTGTGGCAAGACGTGATGCTCTGGGTCTCAGATTATAGGCGCTGACCATCCCTGGATGCGCAATTCTCTGGCATTGATACGCCAGGAGAAAGGCCCAGCTGTGTACCGCTCGGTCACTGTAAGTGGCTCTTCACCTACAGTGCGAATAGCAAGGTAACTCGAGCGATGAATGTTACAGCGCTTCATCTGGCATTGCTTTTCTTTTCGCTCAACATAGGAGTTCATACTAGACTTGGGGTGACCATCCGACAGCCCTTGCGCTTCGTATTCAATGTGGCAGGCCAGACTGCGATGATGTCATATTCTCGGAGATCTGCTCATGGTTCGCATCGCTGCGTGATGTAGGCGTCGAGAAATCTTGAATTGTTATCGCAGGATTCGGCCCTACGTGAAACAGTGGCATGAGATCTCACAGGGTGTCGTGAAAGAGTGGTGCAGCAGAGTCAATGTGCGAGCGATGATACCGGCCTAGCGCAAGCGCGAAGCGCTGGCCGCTCTTGCTAATGGATGGACGTGTCTATTCGCGTCTCCTGCGACCAACACATTCAACACCACAATACACCCCACCATCAAGCCACCTATCATCATGGACATCATCGTAACGCAGAGTGTAGGAGCGTGTGGTTGGGTACGCTCGAAAGTCTTTACTTGATCGTACTGACGCGTCGTCGCGGGGTAATCCCAAGGTTGCGGACGCACCTCCTGAGTCCCTCCGGAATTTCACCAGTCCAACCCGCAATCCCGCTCCGGCCTCTCATGTACTACTCTCAAGAATCGGAGGAAGGCATGCTGTCCCAGAACAAGTCATGAGGTGTTGCGCGACACAGCAACATGTGCGCTTCACAAGAACACGTTCTCGACCTCGACACCACCTGGGCATCTCGAAAGAGCCAAACTTTATGATTTCCCAATGTCGTGATCGTTCCGTATCAGGCATGCGGAGCCACGGTACCTCGGATAGGCTGTGCTTCGGCTCCTCAAGTATCACGAGCCAGGAACGAGGCCATAACATTGCTGCAAGTATAGCAATGTATGCGTAACGTAGCCGGCTAACCCGCTTGCTGTTTGTTCTACGCTTTCGACCAGTCTCTTTCGGTATCCTCACTTCGCGTCAACTGTTGTTGTGCTTCCAGCTTACACTAACGCCCCGTGGGCTTTAGTGACAATGTGTTGTATAGTATAGTATCAAACCGAATGGCTACTGCAATACACTGACGGTCATTAGTTCTCCGCACTGCGCAATCGGCGAGCACGCGAACCACAGGCAGTCGGCAACGAAACCTCGCAAGCCACCGCGGGCTTATCGACTCCCAAGAAGCCGCCCTTTCGTCTCATCAAGTTGAATCCAGTCGCCAGCATCGAGCCTGTGCAACCAATAGACACTGCCATCCCTCTTCCGCCGAAATACCGATCGCGTGGTTTGAATACACCCAGGGTCCAGGATGTGACCGATCCTGCGATTCGGGCCTTGCTCTTTGGTCCTCTCGCTCAGATCGACCATCATCAGCATTATGGCACAGGATACGATGACAGGCCAGACTTGATCCAACACGATTCTGCGTCCTCTGCGCATCACGAGTCCACGCGCTTCGGAAACAACGATTCAGTAGGCAGCGTACAACCGAGCTCTACAAGTTCCACAAAGGATGACAATGAGAGTGGAAAAACAGAGAGTGTCTCGCCTAGAAGTCACAGCTCTTCTGAGTGTGCGGGCACTGACGGCAGCGGCTTCAATGGGGGAGCTAGTGCTGGCTATAGTGACGCAAGCGGCAGTGGTGGAGCTGGGCATAACTCAGATGCAGTGTACGATCAGGTGCTCTAAATCCACTCACGCGCGAACCTCGTGTCACCTTATCTTGTTGCCCTGTTATTGCCCTGTTGAAATCTTGTTGAGGTGCGGGGCACTGCTTCCGGTCTCTAACCAATTGTATGGGAGGCTGTTGTGTAGCCTGAGGTTCACCGGTCTCATCAGGCATCCATCAACGAGTAGCCATATATCCGGCGACACTCTCGTCAGACTCTGCTCACGATAGATGTTTCACCGGTTTTGCGACTTGAATCACTACTTCAGCATTGTCATCTGTTTTGACAGTATTCAGCACTGTGATCTTGCGATTGCTCGACTGTGATCTCCTCTGTCCACGCTCACTCAGCCTTGCCGGAGCATCCAAACGTTCAGTTAATTGCACACTCGTTTACTGGGAAGATGTGCAGTTTCCCTCCTATGCCACCGCAACACGATGTCAGTAGCCAACGATCGCGACGTCCACCACGTGGGGCAAGGCCTGTGCCGAACCAAGAGATGGTTAGATACCACTGTTGTACCTTCAGGACCTAATGACTCACTGATGTAATTAGATGATGTATCATAACGGGTGGAACTCGCACTCGGGCCCGCCACCACCTGGAATGGGTCAGCATCCGTTGCTTCCAGGTGAACAGCTACTCGCCGAAGACGACCTATCGGAGGCCATCGATACGGGCACGCGCTGCGACTACAGAGATATATACCGCGTCCCGACCGATGAGGATCCCAACAGATACCATTGGGTGGATGCAAAACCGCCGATATACGGTGCTACAGGCGACAAACTTCGGACAAAGAAAGCACGGGAAGCTTTCGCTGTAAACGTCTACCATCGCTTTGACGAGGTGAGAGATGAGTGGAAAATACATGAATTACGCATCAACAGTACGCTCCTTCATGCTGCGCTGGAGAAGATACTCGAAGGTTATCCAGGCTTGACACAGCATGAGATGAAGTCGTTCGCACCACCGTTTCTTCCATTCATTCATCGATGGGAAGCGATGCTCAGCTTCAAGGATGGCGTCGATCCAGAATCTGAGACCAAGCACCACCTCGATTTACTCCAGGATGTTCTCGAACCCCTACTCAAGGAGTCTTTCGACAAGATCCGCGACATAAAGGCGACCGGGCATGTTGCGTTCCAGGACCTAAACTTGGTTCTTATTCCCGCCATGATGGTTCTGGACCATAAGACGGACTCGATCGGGGTTGTTCGATATTGTAACATTACGTGCATGCCTCCCCCAGCGCAAAAGATGTTCTGGTCGATAGGCGTCGATGTGGTCGACTGGGATGGAAGGCGATGTGGTCTTCTTGCGCAACCAAAACACGTGTTCCAGTATCAGGGCTTACGGGCCTTGACTGCGTTGGATGTATCACCTCTCGATGATCATCCTGATCAAACGAGTATCCGTGAACGACTCATCAAACGAGGCCGTCGGTTCGAAGAGCTACGCGGCCAATTCTTCAAAGCCTTTACCGACCAGCGCGAAGAGCGCGTAGACGAGCGCATGGTTATTGACGCGCGAGCATATCACAAATTCCAGACCGGGTTCGTGCCTCTAGAATACGCGAAACTGTCTGAGATAGGCCAGCTAACGTGGGCTCAATCCATGAACCGTTACTCCCCCAGTGTCCCTAGCACCCCGGGATCAGCAATCGAACTGGATCTCTCGCCAATGACCGATGACGAATGCCTTCTAGCTGTACACTACGTCAAGTGCTTCGATATCGAGAAGAAGAAGTGGGAGATACTAGACGTGACTAAGATTCACGAGATACCTTGGGCTGAGCATGCTTTCGACAGCTTAGTCCTCGATCAGGACGAGAAGGATTTGGTCTTGGCTCTCGTAGACCGCGATCAGTTCAAGCAAGGAAAGCCCTTCGATGACTTTGTAGTCGGTAAAGGCCAAGGCATGATCATGCTGCTTTGCGGCCCTCCGTAAGTAGCCCAGTACGCACTGCCTGCGAGAGATATACTGACCTTGGACACTAACTATCAGAGGCGTGGGTAAAACACTCACTGCTGAGACCGTCTCTGAGCACTTGCGTCGCCCCCTATATAAGCTCGGGGCTGGTGACCTAGGAACGAGCGCGCGCACCGTCGAGGATAATCTGGAGAGTGCGCTGAATTTGTGTGGTCACTTCGGTGCTGTCCTGCTTCTCGACGAGGCTGATGTGTTCATGGAGGCGCGCACTCTGAACAATCTCCAACGCAACGAGCTTGTTTCGGTCTTCCTTCGCCTACTCGAATACTACAAAGGCATCATGATTCTGACTACGAATCGGATGCGCAGTATCGACACGGCTTTCGAATCTCGTATCGATATCACACTGAGCTACAGCTCGCTCGGAGAAAGTGATCGTCTTCAAGTCTGGCGCAACTTCCTGACTACTATCGATGCGCAGGATGTGGATGTCGGAGAAGCTGAACTGGAGAAACTGGCAAAGCTCAACTTCAATGGGCGTCAGATCAAGAGCGCGATCAAGACTGCAAAGATCTTGGCGGCGAGGAAAAAGGAACGCTTGAGTGCAGAGCATCTCATGGTCGTGCTGAACTTGAGGCAGAAAGCACTCGGTATGATGGATGGTGGGGCAGACGATGACGAAGCCAGAAGGAGGGCAGAACGGGACGACACTAGGAGTATGTGGTCGACAGCCACCGACACCGACACTTCTCTTCCTATCTAGTTTGCAGTCGGCCAATTTTGTTGAGGGTGATCTCGCCATTCTAAGTACACTGTTGCGTGAGCAGTCTCATTGATCTCGCGAGGTAGGAGGTATCGACCGTTCATTGATTTCGTGAACATGCCGGCTGTCTCGTGCTTTTGGCCTTCAGTGTTGTTCTTCACTTCTGCAAATAGGTCTTGTAGGGTACTCAATCAACACTGAGATCACGTTGGTTCATAATGCGTCATAGCGAACACGACAGTGAGTAAACACACTTGCCATGCAAGGCTTTCTTTCGGCTAGATGATTATCTATCAATCTGAATTCGTTTTGAACTAGGGCCACTCAAGGTGGCTCGCGACGCAACTCCGAGTTCGCATATGACGATTGCGTAGTGGACATGGATGCCATCAAACATTAGTCTAGTCCTTGGGCGACAGCGATGACATAGCCACCTGAGTAGTGCACAGCGTGTGTAGGGGCGCTACTCTCGAAAGGCCTTCCGTAACTTGACATCCATCTCCAAACCTTAACGCGAAACAAAGCTTACATCGCTCGGTTTCCCATATCGCATCGGCAGTCTCATACAGGCTGAGACTTCGTATTTCAAGATTGGCGTGGTTGTATCGCGCATTTGCATCGGATGTTTTCAAGTCGACAACGCGCAAGCTGTAAGCGAGCCCACCTGGGCAAGTCTTCAAGACCCGCCCGGGCCGAGGTCCACTACCTAGGTACCGTAGAAAACACGTGACATACACTCAACTGTGCCGCAACACGACAGCAAGATGCCGCAGATATTGGGCAGGGCCGATAAATGCCCTCATACAAGGCACGACATAATCGCCCTCAAGCCACTGAACACAGCCCGCTTCCAGCGAAGCACCGAACCGATGCAGCGAACCAATGGATTACCGGCTTCATCATGCCGATCCTTCAAGCCACACCGTGCACACAACCAGCGGCCCCGGGAAAACGCCAACACGGCTCACTCCCCGGATAAGGTCGGAGGATCTACTGGCGTCAGACTCCGCCTCCGCTAATCTGCTTTTACCTGAAAACTATCGCGTACACAGGATAAAAGCCGCCGAACCATTATAAATCGGAAACTCGCCAACGCGCCATGCGCTATATGTTGACGAATATCATGGACTGGTCTCGGCTGGGCCCTTGGTGTTGTTCAACACATCGGCAGATGCAGGCGGCCCGACCGCCGGTGTTATTACGGTTACCTCGACTTTCTTTGGGTACATATACGCAAGTACTCTTCTGTGAGGACGACAGACACAATTGCTGTTGTACGCTGTGATCATGCCTTCTCTTTTGAGTCTCGGAGCGACTGTCGCGCTTTCTGCGACTGGTCTTTTCGCACATCCACTATCCAATGCGCAGCTCGTTTCGAGAGCAGAGGACCTTCTTCCAGAATATGACTATGTCATCGTAGGCGCCGGCGCGTCGGGTCTTACCGTTGCCAATCGACTTTCCGAGGATAAGGGTAGGCTTACGCAATATCCAGGTTTACGGAAATCACTAACGTCGTCCTGTTATAGATGTGACCGTACTCGTTATTGAGGCAGGCGATCTGTAAGTCGCATGAACACCACATCCACCACGATGCTGATTTGTCTCCAGTGACCAGAACGAGGACTACGTCACCATCCCAGGGCTTGCAGGCGGTGCTGTAGGAACGAAGTATGACTGGAACACATCGTATGCTGCGGACCCAGCACTAGACGGCCGAGTTGTCTCCATTCCACAAGGCAGGGTCGTGGGCGGGTCAACAAAACTGAATCGCATGGTGTTCGACCGAGGCGCACGATCTGATTATGATGAATGGGAGACCTTGGGGAACGAAGGTTGGAACTTCGAGACCTTCTTGAAGTACTTCAAAAAGGTCTGTCCTTGTCGCCAGTTCCTCGACGTTTTCTAACCAGTTGACAGAACGAGAAATTCACACCACCAACTTCTGAGATCCAAGCCGAATACGACATCCAGGTCAATCCGGAATACCATGGCGACGAAGGATACATGGAAGTAACCTACTCTCCGTTCTTCTGGCCAACGACTAGTGAGTTTGACGCACCATTTTCATGCGGCAAGATACTGATGACTAGTTCAGAAAACCTCGTACAAGCTACCAAGGAGCTGGGAATCTCCATCAATGACCAGGCGACTGGGAATGCCTTCGGCGGTTATTTCTGCCCACACAACATGGTCCCGATGAACTGGACACGCTCCTCCGCAGAAGAAGCATACTATGCATCCGCCGAACCGCGCCCCAATTATCATCTTTTCACTGGCCGTCTTGTGACGCGCGTCCTAACGGAAAGCTGCAATGAGACGAATACGGTCAAGGCTACTGGTGTTGAGTTCTCGACTTCTGTAGATGCCGAGAGTCAACAAACCAAGGCCAAGCGAGAAGTCATCCTCGCTGCTGGATCGTTGCACACACCACAATTGTTGCAGGTTTCTGGAATTGGCGGAGCGTCCCTGCTCGAATCCATCAACGTGACCACCGTCGTTGATCTTCCCGCCGTCGGATACAATCTGCACGACCATCTTTCCGTTGCCGTAGTGAACGTCCGTAAGTAGGCAATTGTATTCTTAGCTGAGGAGATACTGACATTGGCACAGTCAACACTACCGTTTTGACCAACACCCTGGCATCAAACACCACTTTCGCCGCTCAAGCTCGTGAGCAGTACGATAACGAGAAGTCTGGCCCACTAACCTCCCCGACCGGTGACTTCCTTCTCTTCCTGCCACTTCAAACCTATTCCAACGCCACGCAATCTATCTTGGCTCAAGCAGTCGCAGGTGGATCATCTGCCTCTCTCCCGGCTGATACCCCCGCTGAAGTCGCACGAGGCTATGAGGCACAGTTTGCTTCTCTCAACAAGAAGCTCCAAGCCAATGATTCCGCGATGATGGAGATCATCTGGGCCGACGGCGTCGTGGTGCTCGGACTTCAGCATCCATACTCGCGTGGAAGCGTAAAGGCGAACTCATCCAGCATGTTCGATCGCCCAGTCGCAGATGTAGGTTTCCTCCGTAACGAAGTCGACACAGCACTCCTGCGCGAAGGTGTACACTGGGCTCGCAAATTCGTTGCCACGCCATCTATTGCATCGCTCAATCCGTTCGAGGCTGTTCCAGGCAACAATGTCACCGCCTCTGCGGACATCGATGCTTTCATTCGCAGCACCGCATCGACGCTGTACCACCCCGCGGGCAGCTGCAAGATGGGTGCTAGAGAGGATGGCGGTGTTGTAGATCAAGAGCTGAAGGTCTACGGTGTGAACGGCCTGCGAGTCGTAGATGCCAGTGTCATGCCCATTCTTCCGGCTTCTCACATCATGACCACCGTGTATGCGACGGCGGAGAAGGCAGCAGATATCATCAAAGAATCTGCGAAGGGAAAATATTAAGGCAGGAAAGAAAGATGCGATGAAGAGATAGGGTCAAAGCAATGTCAATTTTGACAATATCCGAATACCATCTTTTGTTGAGAGTGAGCTATTTTGGTGAGGATGACGATGCACTGAACATGAGCTCACACAATGTCTTCTCAAAGGCCTGAGAGAACGTCCCCCATGTGGGGTCCACGCGCGCATTGCACCAAAATTGATAACCTGCATAAGCTTTTACGCGACAGTCTGAGCTGAATGCCTTTTTTGAGGTGGATGGATCCCGCCTGGGCAATCATCCCCCGTCAGTAGCTGAGGCTAGGTCCAAAAGGAGTAAGCCACTAACCTCTTCGGTGGGACGGGCAGATTATCTTCCCGAGGAGACCACCAGTCTCTCCGCACTCAGCGTCAGGCCTCCATCTCGAAGCCACGAACTCTCCGCATTACACCTTCACAGTGAGGATGAGAGCGCATCAGCCCATACTCCGCCTCGATAGGCGTCGCAAGTTTTGTTGTACTGCAAGGCTCGATGGGCATAAGAGTGCGCGCAACAGCAGTCATCATAGCCCATCATTCCAGCTTCCATCAACATTGCGCTTTGAACACCATCGATTGCATCCCAGATAGGACGATACACAAAACCGCTGACCAGATTTCAACTCAAAACAAAAGATGTCTACACCCATTCGCAAAGTCCTGATCTCAGAGTTCGGCGGCCCTGAGAACGTGTCGGTTGTCACAGCCCCCATCCCCGCGCCTTCCCCCAACGAAGTCCAGATCAAAGTGCTCTACGCCAGCATGGGCGGCGCAGATATATCCATGCGACAAGGTGCCTACCCGTTGCAAAAGAAAGCACCATTGACGCCGGGCTATGCGCTTATCGGCCGCGTGCACCAAAATGGATCGGCTTGCACGAAACACCGGGTTGGAGACCTCGTCGCTTGCCTCACAAAATACGATGCAGAAGCCGAGCTCTGCAACCAACCCGAGAAACATCTCGTTAGCGTGCCAGAAGGAATCGATCTGCAGCAGGCAGTTGCCTTGGTCTTGGACTGGAACACGGCCTACGGGCTAGCCTACCGCGCCGCTAAGATCTCCGCTGGACAGCGCGTCTTCATTCACGGTATCAGCGGCAGCGTCGGGTTTGCCATCCTCACACTTTGCAAGATGCAAGGTGCGGAAGTCTACGGGACAGCATCGGCCGTCAATCACGCAGATATCCGTGAAGCGGGTGCCATGCCCTTCGTCTACTCCGACAAGAACTGGATGCAGGCCATGAAGGACGTGGGCGGCGCAGACATCGTATACGATGCTCTTGGCTTCGAGTCTTGGGACGACAGCTGGAACATCCTGGCGAAGGGAGGTCTTCTTGTGGGTTATGGTGGTAACTTCGACCTGCTCACCGGTGGAAAACCTCGTAGTCAGCCACCTCAGGTTATAAAGCTACTCGCAAGAGGCATGGTGCCCTTTTGCCCCTACAGGACGAGCTTTTACTACATTGATCGCGATCAAAAGACGTTCAAGCCGGAGTTAGTGGCCCTTTTCAGAATGTTGGAGAGCGGTACAATTCGGGTGCCCATCAGGAAGATGTGGGCGTTGGAAGAGGTCCCGGAAGCGCATCGTGTTTGGGGTAAAGGGCCGGGTATTGGGGCTGTGATCGTGAAGGTCACTGAGGATGACAAAGTAGGTCGTCAGTCTTGACTGAGCTGATGAGGAACGTCATTAGTCTGATTCTAGATACCCAACCGCTGTACTTCTCGATATATGCGCGTTCATCATTAATGCCTTAGTCCTTTCCATGAATCTTATATCTGCTTGTCCCATCCCTTACTCACTCGTGGCTTTCCACACCTGTCCGAAAACCTTTTACACTGTTGTGGGAAGTATTAGTCCGCGTTCAAACTATGCGTTGATAGCTCGTTCTACAAGCTTAGAGAATATGCATCCTGCAACTTACAACACCAACAAAAGATTTGGGTACCCAGGCGACCCGACGATGTCTCTGCCAATGTCAAATCTAATGTGATTTTGTGTTTGTGGGCAACCTCCAACACTACGCTGTGAGTAGCCGTGGGCTCTTTCTCGATCAGCTTCGCGAAAACTGGCTTGAGCGCCTGTAGAGTGCGCTGTAGAGCCAGTCCTAGGGCGTTGCTCTCCTTTGCAGTGTAGAGCGCGCTATTGTCAGTCCATAGACGAATGTTGAGATGAAATCCAGTTGCGAGGCGCTGCTGCGCACTGAATAGCGGAGCAAATTGAGTGGGAAGCAGCTTGACATTGATGAAGTGCTTGTCATGGGAAAGCAGACAGCCGTCGACTGTGAGACCGCGGAGAACATAGTTGGCAGGTTTGACGTGATATCCGAGTTTGAAGAAATCTCGCTGAAGAAGAGTTGCGATCCGCAGCGGGTGCTTGACTTCAAAACCGGTATACTTGCCATAGAACGCCTTGACTATCTCGGTCGTGAAAGAGCTATCCAAGACCCGCGGGTTGAGGAACCGAGGGGTTGGTTTGTACATGAACGTGTTGTGATTGAGCGGATAAGCCCATGCGGTAGGACTCGCGCAGCTAGCCATGCCGTGCATCATATCTTCAGTGAGAAGCTCGTCATAGATGACCAAGCGCAGCTCTGGAGGAAGGCGGGAATAAATGCTCTTGAAGAAGTCATCGAGACTGTATCATGTTAGTGAGTTGAGATTAAATCCAAAGGACTGCTCACTCAGCGTCCGCGATACCGTCGCTCATAATCGCGCTGTGTGATGCAGACACGAGTTGATCTTCTGCCATATTTGACTGTGCCTGGTGGTGGAAAAAGCCTGGTATCGGGTGTTCAACTCAGTGTAATGTTTACAGTTTGTACTAGTGTGGCGGGGTTTAGGACCGGCCAGAGTGAATACTTCAAGCTCGCATCGAATGGCTGACAATGTGAAAGCAATAAACTGGCCAGAGAAAGTAATGTCTTCATATGTCTTCATGTATTCCACACCTTACTCCCACTGTTTACGTCCCCGCAATCTTGCGTGGAACATGCTCGTCGTAATACAATGTTTCTCCGCTCTTCCCGCCCTCGAACAATCCCAACGCCAATTTAGCGACAGCCTCTCCACAGAGCTCAGGGGGTTCCACCATCTCATCACCCATCTCATCCCAAATCCTGAACCTCTCGATCTCGTGGTCCGCCATAACGCCCCGATACTTCCCTTCGACTAACCCATCGATCATCTTGGTTCGTGTTAACTTCGGATATACACCCTGTACGCTAAGCAGTGGCTCTTCGTGTGCAAGACAAGAGATAAACCGAGTTAACGCGGCTTTGGTAGTGCTATAAGGCATCCATCCATGGTAGGATACTGTGTCATCGCAGGCCGAAGAGAGGATTATGACTTTGCCGCGACCAGCGTTATGAGGATGCGCTATCCGTGAAGCACGGAGCTTTGGGAGCGTAAGTTGAATCTGAGAATCATTAGCGTATGAAGGGCGTTACATTAGGTCATGTAGCATTAGGAATGAGCAGTGTAGTATGTCAACGTGATACATACCATACTCATCGCGCCAAACACATTAATGTCAAAACTTCTCTTCACCGCTTGGATGTCGACCGTTTCCAATTTTTGGATTGGCGTAATAACACCTGCACAGTACACCAAAGTATCGAGACCTCCAAAGTGGTCGAAACACGTCTGGACCGCTAGCTCGCGATCTTCTTCCACTGTGACATCGCCCTCGACTATTCTGAGACGTTCTCTCTGCTGCTTCGTGAACTCAAGCTTGATGGTCGAATCTATAAGCCCAAACGCAATTACTTTCGCGTTCAGTGGTAGGTAAGGTGATGAAAGTATGGAAAGCGTGGTGGCGTATCCGATTCCGGACGTTCCGCCAACGACGAGGATGACTTGGGGTTTCGAACTCATGGTGTTTGGAAAACACTTGGGTAAAAGTGCACGTATGACGAAGTATGAATTAGGATCAGATGATGTTGAAGGATTGAAGCTTGTGCATTTTGAGACGGCGCGAGTGGAGACATGCCCCGCGCTAAATCCGAAATTGGCAAACCTCGGAGGAAGCTTGAGGGAGGTGCGTTAAACGGCCGCGGCCCCTTTCTTGAATCTACGGCAGCTACATATCACTATAGTCGCGCCTTCGCGCCTTCGCCATCTTCTATCATGCCTTCTTCGGCAGCCTTGATCTGCAACGCCAGTACCCTACTGTAGAATCGCGACAGTGCCAAATTACCACCCATAAACCACAGACCAGGATGACCGCTCTTCTGCCACATCGTCCTGAACTCGCCCTCGTCGTTGAAACCCCATACATCGCTGACGCGGTCCGCGACTTCATCGCCGAAGATCTTTCGTGCCTGCGTTCGCATGTTCTGGTACCCAGTCGCAAATACGATCTCATCAGCTTCCAGCTTATCACCATCCGCGAACTCGATACCGTTTGGCAAGATTCGCGCAATCTCCTGGCCTTGCTTAACCTTGATCTTGCCATCGATGATAAGCTGAGACGCGCCGACATCGATATAGTAGCCGCCGCCGCGCTGGAAGTACTTGATAAGAAGACCTGAATCCATCGGACCACTGTCAAGACCGAAGCCAGCCGCGCGAAGACCGTCGTGCATTTTCTTGTCGTGGTCGGCTTGGATCTTGGTGACTTTGATCTGCTGTGCTTTCAGAAGCTCACTTGGCAGACTCCAGAAAGTCAGGTCGGCGTCGTCGACAGGCGGTGCGTCTTGATCGTACAAACCCTTGTTGCCGATGTCGGTGATAGCCTCGGAAGAGACAACGCATGTTGTACTGCGCTGTACAATGGTGATGTCGTATCCCTTCTCAAAGAAGTCTTGCGCGATATCATGGCCTGAATTGCAGCATCCTACTACCACAGCCTTCTTGCCCTTCGACTCGGGATTCGCGCCTGGGTGCTCGGAGCTGTGGCACAGGCGGTCGCCTTTGAAGTCTTGCATACCCTTGATCTGGGGAAAGTTCTTCTCGCCGGAGTGGCCTGTAGCCTGGACAATGTGCTTCGGATGTAATGTGCGTGTCTGAGTGCTCCCATCGGGTTTCCGGCGTTCGACAGTCACGGTCCACTGCTTCTTACTCTCATCCCACGATGTTGATTTGAGGCTTGTCGAAGTCCATACGTTGAGCTCCAGCAGGTTCACGTACGCCTCGAAGAACTCCGCCAGCTTGTCCTTAGGAGTGAAGACTGGCCAATGTGCTGGGAAGGGCACGTAAGGCATGTGGTCGTACCATACTGGGTCGTGGAGTACCAGTTGCCGATATCGCTTGCGCCAGTTGTCACCAACCCTCTCATTTTGGTCGACGATCAACGCGGAGACGTTGAGCATCCGTAGACGCGCAGCGACTGTAAGCCCGCCTTGCCCGGCTCCAAGGATCAACACTGTCGGGTCGATCTCCTCTTTCTCTGCATCACGCGTCTCCTTCCACGTCTTCCTATTCGGGTCTCCTCCGTGCTTCACACCCTTTGTCCTTCGGTGACCCAATGGCTCTTCATGACCTTTAAGTTCCTTCAGTAAGGTGTACAGCGTGAACACCTTCCATTGTCCATTGTCTTCGGCTAGGTTCATGACACCCTCGCCACGCCCGAGGCTCGTCTCGAAAGTTACAAAGAAGTTGATACCAGTGATATCGCCTAGAACATCGATCGCTCCAAACTTTGGCGCGCGGTAGTCTGAGCTCTTGTCCACTTCAATCTTTTCCATTTGCACTTTGCTGGAATCCAGGTACTTCTTGATGTCTGCACTACCCTTCGACGTCCTGAGATCCCAACTCAACGCTAGGTGATCTCTCCAGTAACTGTTGTCTTTGGAGAAGAGGTCGGCGATAGCCGCATGATCTTTTTTCGCGAGTGCATCGTTGAACCGTGTAATCACCTCATTGGCGACCTTGTGTGCATCGACGGACTCGTTTTTCGACGACGTTGGCCATACACCGACTGGTATGTTGACACTGCCAGCCTCAGGACGCTCGCTGGAGCGGATCGAAGTGTCTCCGACTCCCATGTTTGTGGCTTGCTGGATGACGTAGGTAAGGAATTGAGTGAGCAGACAGTATCGTGCAACAAAGATGAGGAATAGCTGACAACTACAGCACAACCACGATCTTTTGGACACGGTTAAAAGGGTCACGACATATCATCAGCTGAGTGAACGGATTACCATCTTGGTGTGATCCGTATACGCGTGTAGCATGCCAAGCCACCGTGGTGTACCTGGTCGGCAAACCTTCCTCGCTGGGAAGTGCGGGGAAGATCGTGGCGTTGCTCCGGGGAACCAACGTGAGTATCCCCCTTCTACCCGCAACTTTCCTCGCAGTGAACTCCGATGTGCGGATAGTCTCCGCTTGAGAAACATTTCTGCTCGAGCATCGTCCAGTCCAGGCCGCGACACGTGGTGCTGTCACGTGTATCGTGAGTTTACCTACACGTCTATCCAAGTCCACAACATCCGCATCTGCTTTCGCTCAACTCATGAGACTGAACTGGCACAATACATGCCTACAGCCACTTCCACAACCCCGATGGCCCAGTGCGACAGGGACACCAGTCGCGCATGTCAGCGCCACGTCACAATGAGTCGTACCTTTGTACGGCACCACAGCCGTGTACTCTTACGTGGCTCGCTCTTTCTTCGGACCAACGGTTGATCTGTTATGTTCAACTCTAAAAAGTCTATAATTATCGTTCCATCGCACATCTAAAGTGCGGAAACAATGTCTATGTTACCAAACCCACGCTAAATAAACACAGAAGAGATGGACATTTCAACAGCGCTCGCAGGTTCAACTCGGCCGCCTCGGCCATCCCCAAGTCTTTTGCTGCACAAGCGCTGCCTCATCATCGCTATCCTCTATCAGTCGCTTGGGCACCGACCCACTCCTCATACTCTCATTCCCCTCTGTTATACTCTCTAGACTCTTTTGCCTGCCTAGTCCCCTCTCCTCGATGACAACACCATGGGACTGTCTCCTTCCATGTCCTGCTGTGATCTCCACTTCCGAACCTCTCCGCTCGTAAAACGGGTTCGGCTCGGTATGCACGATGACCTCCCTCGTCTCCTTGATTTGGTTCCCTGTTGGGGCGAAGCTAATGACACGCTGCCCGTCTTGCTCGGCATTTGCCTTTGTATCAACGGTGTAGGAAGCAAAGCTGGCGAGCTCGTGAATCGAACCCCGTGCTTTGTGCGGGTTTGTGCCGGTGGTGCGGTGGCCGGTGGTGGATTGGTTGGACGAGGACTTGAACTCGTGGGCAATGGATGCCATGCCTGTCTTGCGCGATGTCGAGATTGCGATGCGTTTGATGAGGTTGGCCATTGTCATTTCGATGTTCAGTTTTACTAGGTAGGCGAGGGGATGGAATTGGATGTATCTGGAAGAAGGTGGGTTAGTTAAGGTCAGGGGTTGGCTTCTGTTGACGAGTAACACTCACACAAAGGAATTCGGTATCGACATAGCGGCGATGATCATGACGTCCATGAGAAGTGATACCATCACAATTTGCTGGTTGAAACGAACGAGCTTATTGTACTTTGTGAGGCCGTTGTTGATCAAGTTCTCCTTCACAGTCTTTAGGAAATACCAGTTCAACGCCGCGTCGGCGAGGAGGTAGAGACCCTTTTCAATCCGATCCCAGTACTCGTTGATGAGGTGGTACCTGTTAGATCGTTAGTCTAATGCTTGATACGATTGGGTCTCGCAAATGTCGTTCCACCACGAACCAGCCAGGCGAACCCAGCCAATCGTTCAGCCCATTGCGACAACCATCGGTGTACGCCAGTAGGAAAGTGACTTACTTCTTGTTAATCTGTAACCGTGCTGGTATCCAGACATTGAAGACACTGATGTTGATAACAGTGACGAAAACCGCAGTGCTAATCATGATCCATCTCGACCGCCGCCGATCAGGCACAATAACACGAATACGGTTTATGATGATCTGCAAAAGCAGCTGGACCTGAATGCACCACCAGAACAAGATGGTGAAGTAAAAAGCAAAGCCTGTGGTGGTTAGCATGATTTAGAAGAGCTCTATACCGTCGCTACCACCTACTTGGTTTTATGTACTTGAGCAAGTGTAAAAAGCTCTCAAGGCCCATTGTGAACGAGACAATAAGTTCCAGCCATATCATCCAGACGTAGACGCTCCGGAGAGGCGACCGCGACCCTTTTGTTTGTTTGACAATGAGCCATAGGGCCAGTATGACATTGAGTAATGTCAGTCCCCACACGACGGAGGCTATGATGATGTCTGCTTTCGTGATGGGCTCATTCTTGTAACTATCTGAGATGAATGGGCCCCATGGTTGGAACGAAGGATCATCATGATATTCGTTACTCATGCTGAGCCAGCGTGGAAAAGATGTGTGGAACGATGGTGGCCTGATAACGAACGTCGCAAAGTTAGCGAACGTGGTGTTGTATACTATGTGCGACCGGTCGAGAGTGAGCCGTTATGACACAAGCGAAGACCCTTCACATCTTCAGTCCAGACCGACTGATCCATAACGGCAGCTAGGGGGGGTTTTCAGGAGATGAAGCGAAGACTTGACAGACCCTCGAGTCAAAATAGAGTTCGACAGAAAGTGGCGTATTAGCCCTGTGTTCGAGAAGGACAGATCCCATTCGTTGGGCGTCAAGCTATGGTGGATATTCGGAAGGCAAACGAGCGATCCTTTCGTGAATCGTGCCACTAATCCTGTAACAGCAGTGCTGCTGGATCGTAATGGTCCGACCTGCATACGGAACGGGATCTATCCTGCTGGAACGCTAATGCTCGCTTGACAGGGAAGGGCATCCCTTTTGCGGGGTGATGCACGAGTATTGCGCATCCCCCAGGCAATGCATACAAGCATTTGAACAATTGGGGAACCTCGGGGAGCAGTACCTTCACTGTG